AAGGTTCCATGTACTGCTGAGAAGAATGTAAATGCTTTCTGTGTAGGATGAAAAGTTCTGTAGATATCTGTTAGATCCATTTGGGCTATAGTGTCGTTTAAATCTACTGTCTCCTTATTGATCTTCTGTCCTATTGATCTGTCTATTTCTAAGACTGGAGTATTGAAGTCCCCCAGTACTATTGTATTGGGGTCTAAGTCTCCCTTTAAGTCCCTTAACAAATATTTTAAATAAACCTGTGCCCTGTAATTAGGTGCATATACATTGATAATCATTATATCTTCCTGTTGAATTGATCCCTTAATCATTATATAATGCCCCTCTTTGTCTCTCATAACAGTTTTTGTGGTAAAGTTTATGTTGTCTGATATCAAGATGGCTACACCCGCTCTTTTTTTCATTTCTGTTGGCATGGTATATCTTTTTCCAGCCTTTCACTTTCAGTCTGTATGCATCTTTGTTGGAAAGATGTGTTTCTTGTAAGCAGTAAATAGATGGGTTTTGTTCCTTAACCCAATCAGCCAATCGGTGTCTTTTAACTGAACAGTTCAGGCCATTCACGTTCAATGTGACTACTGATAAGTAGTAATTTTGCCCTGCCATTTGCCAAAGATATTTTCTAATATATGTTTTGACTTCCTGTGATCTTTTGGTGTGAGCTTTCCTTCATTTACCTTCTTTCATATTGATGTCCGTGTTTCTGTGTTTCTGTGTGTAACACATCTTTAAGCATCTTTTCCAGGGCTGGGCAAGTGGCGACAAATTCTTTAATTTCTGTTTGCTGTGAAAGGTCTTTATTTCACCTTCATTCACAAATGATAGCTTTGCAGGATATAATATTCTGGGCTGGCAATTTTTCTCTCTTAGCACCTGGGCTATATCTTGCCATTCCCTCCTAGCTTGTAGGGTTTCTGATGAGAAGTCAGCTGTGAGTCTGATTGGAGATCCTCTGAGAGTAATCTGATGTTTCTCTCTTGGACATTTTAGGATCTTCTCTTTATGGTTCACTGTGGTGAGTTTAATTACAATGTGTCGTGGTGAGGATCTCTTTTGGTCATGTTTACTGAGGGTTCTATGAGCTTCCTCTACTAGGATGTCTCTGTCCTTCTCCAAACCTGGGAAATTTTCTGCTAATATCTCACTAAAAAGGCCTTCTAATCCTTTCTCCCTCTCCATGCCTTCAGGAACTCCTAGAACCTGAATGTTGGGCTTTTTAATAGTATCCTGAAGATTCCCAACAATATTTTTTAGATTTCTAATTTCCTCTTCGTTTCTTTGGTTTGACTGTATATTTTCCTTTGCTCTGTCTTCTAAGTCCGATATTCTCTCTTCTACTTCACCCATTCTGTTTTTAAGGCTCTCTAATGTGTTTGTCATTTGATCTATTGAATTCTTCACTTCATTATGATTTCTCGTCACTATCACAGTTTTCATGTTCTACTAGTTGTTTCATTTCATTTTGATTCCTCCTTAATATTTCATTTTCACGAGAGAGATTTTCTATCTTGTCCATTAAGTATTTCTGTAGTTGGAGAATTTGTTTTTGAGAACTTCTTAATGTTCTTATCAATTTTTTGAGATCTGCTTCTTGCATTTCTTCTATCTCATCATCTTCATAATCTTGAATTGGGGTGTCTATTTCATTTGGGGGCGTCATAGTGTCTTCCTTGTTCTTTTTACCTCGGTTTTTGCATTTGTTGTTTGGCATATTGGAGATATGCTTTGGTTTCTTCGGTGTGGTGTTTTTTCTCGTTATATTGTGACTCTAGAATAAGAGGACTGTCTGCTTTTGATAGATCCTTAGAGGCTGTGATGGGTGTGGCCAGAGAACTCTGTTTGGTTCTTCAGGGTTAAGGGTGTGCCAAAGGTGATTCACCCTGATTGTTCTCTTGCTGGCTCGCGCGCTCTCTCGCTCTCTCTCTCTCTTTTTTTTTTTTTTTGTTTTGTTTTGTTTTGGTTTTGTTTTTGTTTCTTTTGACTCAGTTGGGAAGTATTTCTACACAGCTGAGTGGAATTGAGAGTAGTTGATGTCTGGCCCCTGGGGGTATTCATTTGCTTACCACTGGGTCCACACAAAGAATTTATGCAGCCCTCAGTGTGTTCTCACATTTCACCACAGTCTCTCACCAGGTTGCCCAGGTTACGGAGTTTGTGTACTCAGTGAGTTCTCTCCCCCGCCCCTCAGTTTTTCACAGTCTCAGTTGGTTAGCTCCACACTTTCATTAGGTGTTAACCTCCTGTTATTTCTCCCCACCAGAGTCATGTTTTTCTGCTTGGCTAATGAGGGGCACCCACTTTACATATGCAAAATGGCGCGTGCCGCTTTACTTACATAAAATGGCGCCTGTTTTTTGTCTTGCTCGGCTTTGTAAGGTGGGTAGAGAGAGAGGCTAATGTCCATGACAGTTCCCCTTATTTATTCGATTTTTTCTCTCCTCTAGCCAGCCTGGTGAACTTTCCCCAGTGGGGTTTCAGGCCTCGTTCTTTGCTGGCTCTCTCTGCCTTTCCCCGCCAATGTCTCGGGTTACCAAGAGGTTTTTGTCTCACCTCCCCTTCCAGCGCTGGCACACAGACTGCGGCACGGCTCCCGCGGCTTGACTTCCACATGGTGGGCAACCTTGCTCTCCCCGTAGGTCCTCCGAGTCACATCCACTAGATCCGGAAGAGTTTCCTCTGCAATTTTTTCCTGATCCTTTTCCTGAGGCTACCGTAACTCCACTTTAATTAAACTATCTTTTCCTGGACTATCGGTGCACGCCCTCACTATTCCGCCATCTTCCCGATCTCCTGTGGTTTAAATACAGCGGCCGCAGACACACCTCCCGATCATCCGCCAGGCGCCATGTTGTTAGGGACTATTTTAGGCAATGCACAATACACTGGTATTTGTCATGTATTTGATATATTATTTCTTCATAATTGCATTAGTCATTTTGCAGTGGAATAAATTGTCCTAAACCAGCTTCCATATTGAATGATGAATTTGTCCCAAAGGGGCCTCCATATGCCATGAATTGTAACCTAGTTTGACCTGCACATAGTTTGTAAACTACCCTAAGAGTTTACTCTAGGGGGCCAGTGCTGTAGCATAGTGGGCTAAGCCTCCACTTACAGCACTGGCATCCCATATGGATGCTGGTTCGAGTCCCAGCTGCTCCTCTTCCAATCCAAGTCCCTGCTATAGCTTGGGCAAGCAATGGAAAATGGCCCAGGTGCTTGGGCCCCTGTACCTGTGTGTGTGATCTGGAAGATGCTCCTGGCTCCTGGCTTTGGATCGGTGCAGCTTCGGCCATTATGGCTGTTTGGGGAGTGAACCAGCAGATGGAAGACTTTTCTCTCTGTCCCTCCCTCTCTCTGTACCTCCCAAATAAATAAATAAAATCTTTTTATAAAAAAAAGATTATACTCTTGTAACTAAGTAATTGAGCCTCAGCCAGTCACAGTAGCCAACCCCTGGGTCAGAGGCGGAAAGTTGCCAAATTGTGCCCAAATTAGGAAAATGCCTGTCTGCACAAATTAGGTAATTTCCTTATGTTATTTCTTGACCTTCTTATTATAAAAATTGCTCAACAAGTTGTGGACAGGGTCATCTGAACTCTGGTTTAGAATGCTACCCTGTTCTAGAACGTTTCTCTTGGTCAAGTAACCTTATTCAAATTGAACTGGTCTCAGTTTTCCTTTTAACACTCCACTGTGAGAAAATTGAACATGTAAATTTTCAAATGATAGCTGCTCAGGTTATTGTATGTATTTCAGATAATCCAAATGAAATGGACAACTTCAAAAAAGTAGCTGTAATATTTTCTGTAATATTTCCTGATATCAAATGATAAATAAATAATCCATATCAGCTGATTAGCTTCAAATAACACATATCATTACATTTTGGGGGTATGTTCTTTTATTATAAAAACATATAGTTTTTCCAAGCAAAATTCCTTCTTTTTGCTTTTGAGTAACGTTTATCTGCAATTGATTTTGCTGAATGTTCTATCACAGTATTGCTAAAATGCATCTTTTGATGAACTAAGTATTTATGAACTTCATAGTGAAATTATAAGACCCTTTCAGAGACCTGAGGGAGAATGACAGAAACATAGTTCTGGCAGTCCTAAAATAGTGTTATTCAGGCCATGTTCCCTCACCAAAGCAGTTATTCCTTGGAATGTGTGTTTGTAGGTATCATTTACAAAGTCTTCACTGAAGTGATTGCCTATGTAGGAATTAAGAAGACTGAAAGCTATTGGAAACAAAGCCATTTAAGTTAATAATGACTGTAAAAATCATTTTAATTTGGCCGGCGCCACGGCTCATTAGGCTAATCCTCTGCCTGCGGCGCCGGCACACCAGGTTCTAGTCCCAGTCGGGGCGCCAGATTCTGTCCCGGTTGCCCCTCTTCCAGTCCATCTCTCTGCTGTGGTCTGGGAGTGCAGTAGAGGAAGGCCCAAGTGCTTGGGCCCTGCACCCGCATGGGAGACCAGGAGAAGCACCTGGCTCTTGGCTTCGGATCAGCGCGGTGCACCAGCCGCAGCGCACTGGCTGCAGCGGCCATTGGAGAGTGAACCCACAGTAAAGGAAGACCTTTCTCTCTGCCTCTCTCTGTCACTGTCCACTCTGCCTGTCAAAAAAAAATCATCTTCATTTGTGTAGTAGAGATAGTTTCCTGCTGCTTTTAAATCAAACAATGCAGATTAAGAATAAATAGGACACTATAAAGATAGGAACCATTGGCAGTAGCTCAATAAAGGTGATTCTAGATGGTAAAGTTGAGAAAATATCAGAAAAGTCTAACAGTGGATGTCAGGTACTGATATAAATCATTATACAAAGTATGTTATTGTTAGTTTTTCCCTTCAAGGCACAGACCACAAACATATTGTGTGTGTGTGTGTGTGTGCACGCACGCGCACGTGCTGTGGTCTATTGACTCACACATTTTCAAAGTGCTAATAGACAGCATATTTATATTTAGAATTACTTTTTAATATCATCTTTCCTAGGGTCCAAGATGGTTTATTTTGATGGACCAAGTGTTCTGCTGTACAGATTTGATAAAAAATTTGTAAGACCAGTAAGAGATGTTATTTCTTTGAAATTTAAAACCATGCAGAGTAATGGAATTCTACTCCACAGAGAAGGACAACATGGGAACCACCTCACTCTGGAATTAATTGAAGGAAAGCTTGTCTTTTCTCTTAATTCAGGTAAAATGTATTTCTACTTTATACGAATAGTTGTAAAAATCTGTTTAGATGAAAGTATATTTGTGGTACCTAAGCTTTTCACAGTTAGATAAAGTGAACATGTGATACACAAATGGGGAACTATTTTCTGCCAAAGGCCATTTGGATATTTATAACATCATTTGTGGGTTTCACAAAGTTATCAACTAAAATTAACCTTCTATAGATTTCTTGAATTTTGAGCCCAGCCTGAAGTTGCCTTTGCAGGGCCAGACCAAATAATTTTACGGGCCTTAATAGGCCTGTGGGCTGGACATTCTCCACCCATGATATAATATATTGTCCACATCAAAATACCTAATTCCAACCATGATTTATGCAGTAGCATATATCTTGACAACTATGCAAGAAAGACAACATATATATATATATATATATAAAACATATATGTGATATATTAATATTACATATAATCATGCAGACAAGAATAGGTCATAGTAAAATTAGGAGATAGTGTTGATAATGAGATTCTAGCAAAGAAAGTAACTGCAAAGTAAATGTATCATGAATAATAATAACTCAAGCGATTTCAAAAAATGTAGAAATGAATTAAGAAGGAATGCAGAAAGTATACTAACACTGTGTTCAAAATGAAGAGAAATTCAGATGACAACTATGTGGAATGGAGGTATGGACATAAACTGTAATGCTGAACTAACAACGGGAAGCTGTGATTTTGATCAGAAGTAACAGAGTTGGATTTACCCTCTCTTTTAAGGCAATGCTAACCTGCCTTCTACTAAAGCTCAATCAAACCTCATCCTGGGCAGCTTGTTGGATGACCAGCACTGGCATTCTGTCTACATTGAGCAACTCAATACACACATCAACTTCACCTTGGACAAGTACACTCAGTATTTCCAGGCCAAGGAACACTCTGGATACTTGGATCTTAACTCTGAGGTTGTTATGTGTTGTGTAATTTAAATGGATTATAACCTGGGGAAAAAACCTCTAATCCTAGAGAAATACTATTTCATAATAATTTAGAACTATGCTGATTAGTATATAGTAATAGATATGTTCAGGTATGACTAAACTGTTTATTAGCTATAATAGGATAATTTATTGTTATAGATAATTTTTCTATAAGAGTAAATAACTAATCACAGTGTACACTTTATGAAATTTTTTACAAATGAAGATATTTCAGAACAAAAAGCAATGTTACTAAATATATTCCTTTCAAATTCCATCTGTTTTTTTTTACATCTATTGTTTGGCTATGAAATAATTCTGGAGAGTTTTTTCTTATCTTGGTATAATCTGAACTAATTTAGCATTACACAGGATCACTTTGAGGAGTTAAAAACATTTTCCTACCATTAGATTGGTTAAATAAGAATGGAGTCAAATGGACACATGTAAACAATTTGTTACTGTTTTCTAATGGTCTAACATTATTTCTGGCAATGCACTGACCATATGAATCTAAACTATAAAAATATAAATAATGTCTATTCTGCCAGTTTCTTTATAGGACACCATGAAGTATATGAATGATCAGAACAAACTAGGAAAGCTGTGACATTTATATGGAATAAATGGCTTTGTAATATAATACCTACTGAAGACTCTGATCCTATACCAGATTATCATTTTGTTACCTTAATTTAGCTATGTAATAGCAAAAATACTTACCAGTGCAGAGATGGGCAAATTGTGGGCCTCAGGCCAAATCTGGTTATTTTGGTTTATTATTATGTCACTTTCTTTTATTCTAAGATCAGCTTTGGAGGAATTCTAACAGTTGGAAGATCACTTGCGTTCTCACATAAAAGTTTTCATGGCTGTTTAGAAAATCCTTATTATAATGGAGTGGACATTGTTGAATTAGCCAAGAAGCACAAACCGCAAATCCTCATTATGGTAAGGAAGACTAAATGGGAAGAAAAGAGAAAAGGAATTGACACTGTTTTTGTATGTTTCTGCTTACAAACATCCCTTTTAGCTATCCATCTGATCTAATATTTTTAAAAATCATGTCTTTTTTAATTCCTTGTTTAAATTAATGTTTTAAAATGGATAGGAAGTTAATGTCTAATGAGATGCAGTTATTTTTATGTGAAGTAAAACAAAAATAATTTTCTGTTTTTGTATAGGAATTAGAATTCATGTCTCCTGTATTTTTGGTATTATTATTTTCAGGGGGCCAATTATTTTGCAATGGAAATCCCTAATGGATGATTCCTTAATGAACTGGAAGTGCTTCTAAATTGGTTAATAAACTTTTTCAGTGTTTACAATAACCATGTGTAATAATAACTATGTAAAAAACAACTACATTTTAGGTTTGAAGTCAGTAAATCTTGGAAATATGTCATGAGAATATATATTTGTATTGTCTTAAAAGGTGTTTTCTTTCCTGTTATATGCTGGCAAAGAATAGGCTCATGGGTGGTAGGATAAAACCTGAAATTACCTTTAGCTCTGTCACCAAGCTAACATATCACCTAAGAGTTCACATGTGGAAAAAAAAAACTCCATGGGACCCCATGAACCTCTCAGGAAAAGTTTCGGGGGAAAAAGTAGAAGTCTAATCTGTACTTTGAAGCACCATTCTGAGATAATACAAATAAAAAATGCATGAAAAGAGAAACACCAAAGGAAAGAGGGTTAAGAGACTCCACAGATTACATACCTTTCACAATATGAAAAAAAAAGGAGATAAATTAAAAAATCACTACATAAAGTTATTGACCATGGAAAACCTGAAATATTAACTGTTGCTCAGACAGGAAAGAAAAAGAAGACATAAGTTTCCTGAAGTTGACTTTGTTGGAGGTGCTTTACTCAGAAGCCACCTAAATGTAAAGATTTGTTTGACCAATAGGTATCTGTGTCACCAATCCTAATGTAACACATTCTGATCTTAAAGCTACTTTTTAAACGTAATTCTTGGTGTAAAGAAGAATCCATCGCCCCCTACCCTCATCTATGAGCTATTATCAAGGTTCCTGTCATTGAGGTGAATGGGAGTTCACTGGGACTTATGACACACAAGGAGCCAAGACTATCTCAAGAAAATAAGAACAGCATTTCATAAAAATTTCATATTATTCCATATTATAGTTAGAATTATTAATTTATTATAGCCAATCAGGAAAACACAATTATGCCAGTGTCTCTGGAATCCTGACTGCCACCCTGAAGAAAACTATATGCTAATTACATTATACAAAATCATTTGAAACTGTACATTTTACATGAAAATAACCAAAAAAGAATGTATTGAATATATAACCATTAATATATTAACATATATATTATGTTAAATATACAGTGTTAGATATGAGCACATTCTGAAAATTATCACAATTTTGTGTGTTCTTTATACTAGTAGAAAAATGGTATTTCAATATTTTTAAAAAGAAAACATTTTAAAATATATTTTATTGGCACAGGTTACAGAACTGGCTCATTTAAGTAATGATTACTTGTGGGTGTCCTTATTTGTTATTTTAACAGACAGGTACCCATCTAAATAAAAAAGTGATAATCAAGTGATTAAATTTATATTATTGGTCAGTATCTATTACACTTAAGCTTTTGGTATTTAAATCGTTACCACAAATATTTTGATACAGTGAAAATTTCATATTCTACAGAATTAAAAAATAGTCAAGGGTAAGTGTTCTGATTTATGTCTATAATTACAATGTATATTATTTTAAAATAAAAACAATAGTTTCTGAAGTATGTTAAGACAGAATTTTTTTAAGATTTATTTATTTATTTAAAAGGCAGAGTTACAGAGAGGCAGTGGCATAGAGAGAGGTCTTCCATCCTCTGGTTCACTCCTCAAATGGCCACAATGGCCAGAGCTGGGCTAATCCAAAGCCAGGAGCCAGGAGCTTCCTTTGGTACCCCACGACGGTGCAGGAGCCCAAGGACTTGGGCCATCTTCCACTGCTCTCCCAGGCCATCAACAGGGAGCTGGATCAGAAGTGGATCAGCCGGGACTCGAATCAGCACTCATATGGAGTGCAGATGGTAGCTTTTACCTGCTACGCCACAGCACCAGCCCTAAGACAAAATTTTTTAAAAATATGATTCAGTCTGAAAAGTGATTTTTAAATAAGATTTAGTTATATTATTTGAACATGATAGTTACAGAGAGAGAAGGAGAGACAGAGAGATAGAAAGATCCTTCATCTGCTGGTACACTCCCCTAATGTCTGCAGCAGCCATGGCTGGGCCAATTCAATGCCAGGAGTCAGGAACTTTTTCTGGGTCTCCCACGTGGTTGCAGGGGCCCAAGTACTTGGGCCGTCTTCTACTGCTTTCCCAGGCCATTAACAGAGAGCTGGATGGGAATTGGGGGAGCTGGAACTGGAACTGGCAAGCCTTGCAAGCAGTGGCTTCACCCACTAACCACAGTGCTTGTCCCAAAAGTGCTTTTTTAAAATCTCCACCTGCAGTGCTGGCATCCCACGTGGGCACCAGTTCAAGACCCAGCCACTCCACTTCCAATCCAGTTCTCGGCTATGGCCTGGATAACAGTAGAAGATGGCCTGAGTCCTTGGGCCCCTGCAGCCAAGTGGGAGACCTGGAAGAAGCTCCTGACTCCTGGCTTCGGATGGGCCAATTGGGGAATGAACCAGCAGATGGAAGACCTCTCTTTCTCTCTGCCTCTCCTGCTTTCTCTGTGTTCCTCTGACTTTCAAATAAATATAAATAAATAAATATTTTTTAAAAATCTGCAGATCAGTGATTTTTCAGCTTGGCTTTATCTTGGAGTTGCCTGAGGAAATTTTAAAACTATTGTTACCAGTTGCATTGCATGCAAAGAAGTGAATTGAGGGCCAAACACCCAGCTGAGGCAGCCAGTCTTCCCTGGGTCCTTTGCGAGGCCACATGAGGGAGAGAGGAGGAGTCTCTGGGCCAGGAGGCCTTGGACCAGAGGGTGGCAACAGCTACAGCAAATGAAAGAGGGTTGAAGGAAGTTAGGGAAGATAATATATTTGGCTGATCATCAAGATTTCCAAGGGTGTCTTGAAACTGGTTGATGGTGAGCCGTTTCAGCCAAGGCTTCACTATTTACCTGTACTGTGCCATACTTCCTGGTCAGGTCTTGGGTTTCCAATCATTTACCTAGAGTCAGTCCCTGGAATTTTTGGCACCTTTTGTTGAAGTGCAATTCTGATTATTCCACAGGATCAACAGTCAGCTTTTGTTAATTGAAATGTGAAAACGGAAAGGGAGATGTATTCAAAGTACAGGCAGTACAGGCATGGAGAATTTTATCCAAAGTCAGGGCAGAGGGCCCGGGGAGCCACAGGGTTAGATTTGCCCGACTATGATAAAGCTTATGTTGGAAGATAGTGTGAATCTCATGGATTTAAGCTCTATGAGGTCAACTTAATTTATAAAACTGTGGATTGATAAGAAGTCTTTGTGAATCTGCAAAACCTGTTTAATTAAATGGAAGCGCCAAAGGCTCTCAGTGTGCTCCTCTGTTTCAATTTTAGGGAAACGTGACCTTCTCCTGTCCACAATCACAGATTGTTCCTGTGACTTTCTTGAACTCCAGGAGTTGTCTGGCACTGCCTGGCAATTCTGGAAAGAACAAGGTCTCCGTCACTTTTCAATTTCGAACATGGAACAAAGCAGGACATTTGCTTTCCAGTGAATTTTGGCATGGCTCGGGGAAGTTTGTCCTCTTTCTTCAGGATGGAAAACTCAAACTGAGCCTCTTCCAGCCAGAAGAATCCATAAGGAACATCACAGCAGGTAATGGGTGTGTTGCCATAATTGTGTAAGTTAATTTTGTAATAAGGTGAGAAGTGAGGAAATGACATACTTGATGCCCTTATATGGGAGGAACTGGATAGGTATTTCCTTTTAAGTTCCTCCAGACTGTTCACATGTGGGACTCACAACCATCATTAAATTGTTTTTATCCAAAAGTGATTATGCAGTGATACTTCAGAAAGCTTCTGGAAAATAGAATTAAAAGATAAGTTTATTTTGCTACAAAAATCTTTTGAAACCCATGCATAAAAGGGAGTCATCACAAAGTTCATGGATAATGCATACGGTGCAAAAATTACTCATGGATTTCAAAAATGCTTCATACTTACCTTATAATTAATGCTCAAACTTAACCTTTTAATTCCATTTTTCCATGAACTCTATGAAGTAACCTTGTAAGAAGAAATTATGGATACTTCCGCAGGTGTATATCAACCTTAAGCTCCATTTCTTAACATACTCATCCTCCTTTTCATAGAACCACAGACAGAACATCGTGAAACACTCACATACACACACACAGATTTGTTCTTCCCCCTACTCGCCTTCTCTCCCTTCCCCTACTCTGTGAAGAAATCTTTTGAAACCCATACATAAAAGGGAGTCATCACGGCTAATGCATACTGTGCAAAAATTACTCATGGATTTCAAACACAGGCTCTAAATACAGGTGGCAACTGATCCTGCCTTGTTCTGAAAGGTGCCAGCAAATACCAAAAAAAGTTCTTAGGCTTTTGCTGATGACTGACTGTTTTTTTTTTTTTTTTTAAGTGTGTGTGTGTGTGTGTACACAAAGCATAGTAATAGAGAAACAGAGATCTTCCATGTGCTGGTTCACTCCCCAAATGCCTGCAGCAGCCAGGACTGGGCCAGGTGAAGTCAGGACAGAAACTCCATCCTGGTCTCCCTCCTGGGTGGCAGAGACTGAAATACCTGGGTATCACCCATTGCTTTCCCAGGACCATTAACCAGGGAACTGAATTGGAAGAGGACTTTTGAACCAGTACTTTGATATGGATGCAGACATACCCAGACTGGGGGTTAACTCTCTTCACCACAACTCCAGCCAGTGACTGACTAGTTTTCTAATATAACCTCTCCCAGGGAGGAATCCAAGATCCTCCATTTTCTGCCCTGCTGGCTGCAAATCAGTGATCCTCCTAAGCTTCAGCTGCTTTCAATTGTGAAAGAGCAAATCTTGGATCTTCTTTGTTGAGAGAACAATAGGAAGGTAATCTGAGCTTAGATGCACAGCTAGCCACCCACCTGGAAGGCCCTCTCTTTTTCCCTCCTCCCATCAAAGACCTGCTATTGTTGGACAAATCCTCTGCCTGCTAGGTTAGGGGCTGCTTAAATCCCCACAAGTAAAATTAGATGTTGACTGATTTGCTTTTGATGTGCAGGGTGCTGCAGGCAAGTGTGTAACCACAGAGCTGATTGGATTTTTCTGATTTAGGTATGCAAATTTAGGGCAAGATCTGAGTGCTGAATCAGTATGAGGCCTAAACTGGCATCAAAACCAAACAGCGACTTTTTATTTTAAAGATGCTAGACAGACTAATAAAGAGGCACCTGGGGCTCTTCAAAGAACAATGCCTCTGGCCAGTTGACCAACTGCTGCTACCTTGTTACTGGGTGAATATGCGATTCAAGACCTGCGAATAAGGAACTAGGGGCAGAAACTCACTTCAGTACTTCTGGAACAACCTGGCAAGCTGTGATGTTAGAATCTGTACGTACCTCTGACTTAAGATGAACCCTGGAAGACCAAAAAGAGATATTTGGGAATTACCTTTTGAAAATGCAAACCTATTTGAAATTTCTTCACAAATTAGATTTTTTCCAGTAAAGGGTAAAATCATAATTCACATACATGTACAAAATGAATGTGTGTCGGATTTTATTTATTTATTTATTTTGACAGGCAGAGTGGACAGTGAGAGAGACAGAGAGAAAGGTCTTCCTTTTGCCGTTGGTTCACCCTCCAATGGCCGCCGCTGCTGGCGCGCTGTGGCCGTCACACTGCGCTGATCCAAAGATTTTATTTAACTCAATAATTATTAGGAAACCATTGTTGGGGAAACAAGGATCAAACTGCCTGTCAGTTTGGTGGCTCCTCTTCAAAAAGAAGAAAAATATTTAGTTTTATTATTGAGTAAATATTAAAACAGATTTTGATGCCCCTCTCAACATTCACTAGTGAGATACAAAGACAGAAAGAGAGCCCTCATTTTTACTGACCAGGCAGACATTCCATACACAGATATGTTCTCTAGATAAAGGAGAACCAGTGCTGAATTTGAGGACATGACAGCACCAGTTACCCCAAATGGTCCACCCAAAATTCACCTGGTTACTGGGGAGGCCATCCGTATTACCTTATTGCCCTTACTCAAAGGAAAGCTAAGTCTCCTCAAATTTTTTTTTAATTTTTATAAAATATTTTATTTATTTATTTGAGAGGCAGAGTTACAAACAGAGGGAGAAACAGAGAGGTCTTCCATCCACTGATTCACTCCCAAAATGGCTGCAGGGGCTGGAGCTGGGCCGATTGAAAGCCAGGAGCCAGGAGTTTCTATGTCTCCCATGTGGGTGCGGGGACCCCAAGTACTTAAGCCATCTCCCACTGCTTTCCTAGGCAAAAACAGAGAGCTGGATGGGAAAAGGAGCAGCCGAGACATTAACTGATGCCCGTATGGGATGCTGAAACCACAGGCATAGGCTTATCCTACTGTGCCACGGTGCCAGCCCCTCCTCAAATCTCTTGACAACCATGAACTTAGCAGCTTGGAGGCAGGCATCTAAGTTAAACTACCACAGAGAAAGGTGCTATTTTCTTCTCCATGTCTATATTTCAAGAAATGCCTCCACCCAAGGCCCTAGAGGTTTACATAAACCTCAAATAGAGAAGAATTCACAATTGCAGGTTTTAAAGAAACACTCTCAGGGAGAGCAAGTACAATTGGTGTGGGAGTGGAGGGTAGAAAGGCAAGGACCCTATAGGTCTTTTGAAACTCAGACAATGAACTGAATGGAGCTCACACATAATAACAGCAAAGGCTTATTATAGGAAAAGAAAGTCCAGTTTCTAAGAGAGTAGAAGTGGGCCAAGAATCAAAGCTCAAATTGAGGCTGAGACTAGAGGCCCTGAAAATAATTGGGGCTGTGATTTTCTAACAATTGGTTTTGGGTGAGGAGCCCTAGAGTGGTTATGGAACTACCATGTGTGTAAGCCATCTGGCCATTATTGTATATATATACAGCTTCTAATTGAAGGTTTTTCAAGCTTGCAATTTCTTTTTCTGGCTTCCCAGATTAACACTTTTTTGTCTCCTGCCTCTATCTCCTGTCTCAAGGTCAAGGATAAGGGAGGCAGAGATGGAGAGAAGCAGAAAGACTATGAAAGAGTTTTGGGATTTACTTTTCTCAGCTTCCCTCATTAACTCCTAGCTGTCTCCAAAAGTGTCTGTCCCTTATGGTACCAAACAGGTTTTTTGTTTGTTTATATATCTTTAAGATTTGTGCTTACCACAACACTTAGGAGAACTAGTTCAAAGATAACTCTAAGTGCCACACATTTCTAGTCAGAAAAGGAATGTGGAAATGAAATTGCGAGTAAATGCAAACCTAGCAACACTTGTCAATATCCACATGTGGAACGAAGTCAGTCATTCCTACTCTAAACAGAGCTTGCATTTCCATGGACAGTATTCCTTATGTTACTATTCTGTGAACTTCTATCACTACACATGCTATACGGTTGTAAAATTGCCCAAAGATAATGGTTTAAAGCCCTATAAAGGCATATAATCTTTCCATTGAAAAGATATCCATTAATCTCTTGCCCATTTTGAAAACTGTCTTCAATTTTTTCCTACAGTAGTTAAACTTCATTGCAGATTTGTTGCATATATTCTATGTGCACTGAAGTGCAGAGCAAGCATTTTCTTCAGTTCTGGTTTGCACAATAACTAGACTTCAATGTAATTAAATTCCTTAAATCATACAGGATTTGGCTTTAGCTCATGGTTTTGTGAGTGTGATATTTTGTGTCCACATTTAAACTATTTCTGTAGTTTTTGATAAGATAATATTTTCATATGGAGATATGTTTAAAATAGCATGTGTATTGTGTATAATTGCTTAATTTATTAATTCCTCATTAAAATATTTATAGGTGCTAATGTATCTGATTGCCTTAGGTATAAACTATGACCAAAGAGCAACTATAACATAACAGAAAAAAATTTGATGATGAATTATAAATATAAGAAAACACATACCAAGATTTGCTTTCATCTGTCAAAAGATATTTTTAAAAGAGGCAGCTATCAACACTTTATAAAAAACTTGTTAAATATTCATTTAACTCATCTGTTAATGAGGGAATGAGTAAAACATTACAACAGATTCAAATGAGAATTCAAAATAAGCAATGATGTAAAACCAGTAAGCTAGAATGAATTTACATGCAATGTGAAACTGGGTTAGTGTGAAGGGAGAAATTATGTTTTCACCAAATAAAATTCATTGCATGTCCAAGAACTATAATCATTTGCTTACTTTCAGTTTTCTACATTTCATGACTTGTGACATGATTGGAAGATAAAAGGTCCACAGACCCACAGAATCCAGTAATTCTAGGATTGTGTTTAAATGATGCTTCATTTTACACTGAAGACATCCAGTAATTTTGGTTGATTTTAAAGTACAATATTCTCCCTTATACCTTGTTATTATTTCTGTTTTCATTTCTTACATCACTGAAGTTTAAAAAGAAAACTGAAATATAGTTAATTTTTAATTAAGAACTACTAAAGATAATAATGTTAACTTTACAAAATGCATATTTGAGAAAAATAAATCAAGCACAGATTCATTTTAAAAATTAACAGGCTATGACCATCATATAAAATGTTAAGTTCGGGGCCAGCATTGTGGCATAACAGATTAAGCCCACCTGCAGTACCGGCATCCCATGTGAGCCGCAGTTCCAGTCCCTGCTGCTCCACTTCCAGTCCAGCTCCCTGGAAAATTTGCCTGAGAAAGCAGCGAAAAGTGGCATCCAAATGGAAGACCTAGGTGGAGTTCCGGACTCCTGTCTTTGACTTGATCCAGACCTGGCCATTTTGATTATCTGGGGGTAAACCAGTAAATGGAACATCTCTCTCTCTCTCTCTTTCTTTCTCTCTCTCTCTCTGTAACTCTGCCTTTCAAATAAATAAAAAATGTATTTTTAAAAAAATTTCTAATGATTAAAAGTTTACTGTGATATATTTGACTATTGCAGTGCTGATCTTGGACTAATTTTAAACATTAGTGCAATGTTAACTTAATAGGCAGTTTTATTTCTAACAGATTTATTGTTATGTATCTTTGACATGTTACTAGATAAAAGGAAATATAGAATACCTCCAACGATTTTAAATACTTTAATATTTAAATTTATTATATATTTTTCTTTTTAAAATAAAGTTAGGGGTCGGTGCTGTGGCTCAGTGGGTTAATCCTCCACCTATGGTGCTGGCATCCTATATAAGCACCGATTCTAGTCCTGGCTGCTCCTCTTCCAAACCAGCTTTCTGCTATGGGCTGGGAAAGCAGTAGAAGATGGCCCAAGAACCTGGGCCCCTCACGTGGGAGACCTGGAAGAAGCTTCTGGCTCCTGGCTTTGGATCACCTCAGCTCTGATTGCTGCAGCTATTTGGGGAGTGATCCAGTGGATGGAAAACCTTTCTCTGTCTCTCCCTCTCATTGTCTGTAACTCCACCTCTCAAATAAATAAGTAAAATCTTTAAAAAAATATTTATTCATTTGAAAGGCAAAGTTACAGAAAGAAAAAGAAAGACAGAAAGATCTTCAATCTGCTGATTCACCCCTCAAATGGCTGCAGTGGCTGGGGTTGGGCCAGGTCAAAGCCCCGAGCCAGGAACCCCTTTCTAGTCTTCCATATGGACGGCAGGGAGCTAACCCTGGCCATCATCCACTGCCTTCACAGGCACATTAGTTGAAAGCTGGGTCAGAAGTGTAGCAGCCAGGACTCGAACCAGCACTCATGAGAGGCTGGTGTTGCAGGTGTCAGCTTAATCTTCTGCGCCACAACACTGACCTCTGAATTCACTTTCAAAAACAAGTCATTACAGGGCTGGCACTGTGGCATAGCAGGTAAAGCTGCGCCCTGCAGTGCTGGCATCCCAAATGGGCGCCGGTTCAAGTCTGGTTGCTCCACTTCTGATCCAGCTCTCTGCTATGGCCTGGGAAAGCAGTAGAAGATGGTCCAAGTCTTTGTGCCCCTGTGCCCACGTGGGAGACCCGGAAGAAGCTGCTGGCTCCTGCCTTCGGATGGGTGCAGTTCCAGCCATTGTGGTCAGCTGGGGAATGAACCAGCGGATAGAAGACCTCTCTCTTTGTCTCTCTCTTTCTCTTCTTCTGCCTCTCTGTAGCTTTGCCTTTCAAAAAATTTTTTTAGAAATTAAAAAAAAAAAAGTCATTATGTTGCGTTATTTCAAAAGATTAACTTTGTAGTTAATGCTAAGAATAATAGAATAATGTGAATATAAAGTATAAAACAATGTTGTACTTATCTGTAAAGTACACCTCTAGTCCTTTGCTAATCATTTTATTACCAAATTATAGATCTTTTAAAAAGAAGGTATAGTCATGTCTATAATCATAAGGTGTTAATTCAGAGAACATATGGACATATGTCAAAGATTTAATTTAACTCATTAGTTAATGAAGAAACCAATAGGATGTTACACTCAGCTCAAAGGAGCATTCAAAATAGCACAAATAAAGGCAGATAAAGAATTTGTAGACAGATGAAAAATACTTCAGTCATCAATTGTACCCCTCCAGATACAAATAATTTGCATTCCTGTGAACAAAAATTGTTTTGCACTATTGTGCATTTTCTACAATTTGTGGAGTGTGAAGTAGCCTAGACAAGAAAGCACAGTGTACCTGGATGGAAGCACCAGAGGGGACACTCAGTGATTTCCTTCGGTGAAAATCTTTCATGATTATTCTTGACACAACTCTTTCAACTGGTTTTCTGATTTTTTAAATACTTATTTTTGTTAGATTCAGCAAAGTAACTTTTTTTATAATTATTGATATTTTTATTTATTTATTTATTTATTTATTTTGACAAGCAGAGTTAGACAGTGAGAGGGAGAGACAGAGAGAAAGGTCTTCCTTCCATTGGTTCACCCCCCAAAATGGTTGCTACGGCCGGCACTCAGTGCCAATCCGAAGCCAGGAGCCAGGCGCCTCCTCCTGGTCTCCCATGCAGGTGCAGGGCCCAAGCACTTGGGCCATCATCCACTGCACTCCTGGGGCACAGCAGAGAGCTGGGACGGAATCCGGCACCCCAACCGGGACTAGACCCCAGTGTGCTGGCGCCACAGGCGGAGGATTAGCCAAGTGAGCCGCGGCGCCGGCTAGCAAAGTAACTTTTGAAGATTGAACACAACTGTGTATTTATTATCCTATTGGTCAAGATTTTGACATGTGTCTTCAATAGTTAAATTTGAGGTGCACATTGTCAGAATTCATTATAGTGACTCTGAAGGAGTAGCGTTTTCATTCATGTGTCTCTGTCATAAATAAATGATATCCTTTCATTAAAGGAAGGTGTTTAGATATTTTTGTCAGTGATTTATCAACATGAAAATACTCCTCTAACTGATATGATCTGAATCAAATTGTTTTCAAGTGTTTCCAAAGTTCATAGTATGATTGTCTTTCATTTTATGTCCTCCAGGCAGTGGGTTAAACGATGGGCAATGGCATTCTGTATCTCTGTCTGCTAAATGGAATCATCTGGTTGTGGTGGTAGGTGATGACACAGCTGTTCTGCCCCTGGTGCCTATGCTGATTGTTTCAGGCAACATCTATTATTTTGGAGGTAAGTGAAGACAGATGGAGCATGTTGGCCATGGGACTGTTTTTATCTCTATTGCCTCATATCCTAAGTCTTCCATCATAGTTAAACCGAGTTAATACTATAAAATCATTTATTTCTGTTTAATACCTTTCAGTTTTCAAAGAACATAAAAACTTTAATCAGTTATTCTTTCCAATATAAAAATAGTGCAGAAAGTTTACTTGCTATTTAAATAACTTCATATTTCCACAGAACATTAGCTGCACATAGTAATCAAAAAAGTAGGACCTTTCGAACATTAAATCTTCACAACAAATAAATAAATCTATATTTCTAACGGTTACTTTTTAAAAACAAGACAAATCGTATTTTACAAAGTCTTTGACTTACATACAATCTTATTTATGATATAGATTTAAGTCCTAGATCAAAACCAAATATATAGAGTTTCTAGTCATTGGAAACAATAAACAAAAAGCAATTCATAGGAGGCAAACATGTTAAATGGATCCATAATACAACTGGTGTTACACTGGTATAAAGAACTAAACGTAGATATTGGCATTCTATGTCTATTCATATATTGACATTCTAACCTCCAAGATGGCAATGTCAGGAAGCTTTGGAGGGAGACTCATGGGGATGGAGCCATCATAAATGGTCATATGAAAGAGACCCCAGAAAGCTCTGCAGCTCACTTTCTACTTTGTGAGGACACAACAACCAATAGCCATCTCTGAGCTAGAAAGCAGGCCCTCCTCAGATGTTGAATCTTCTGGTACTTTAATCTTAAACTTCCCAGCCTCCAGAAGTATGAGAAATAAATGTTTGTTTTGTAAGCCACTCACTCTGTGGGATTCTTCTATAGCAGCCTAAACAGACTAAGACAACTGACATGGAAAGGAAACTTAACCTTTTTATTATTGTTATTATTATTATTATTAAAAGAAGTGCCAAAAACTGTAACAACAAGCCCTGCTATGGATCCTAGAACACTTCTCTGAACATGTGAATCCAAAGATGGGATGTCTAGACCTGGAAACTCTAGCAAAGATAACAATTATGTAAAGAAATGTCATCACATCTGAACATGAGTACCTCTATATTAAAACATTCTATTATTCTAATATCACCACATATATGATAATTCATTTTCAAGTTAGAAAATTTTCGATTAAGTAGGACATTCCATGATGAATACAGATTGCCATGTTTCTCTGCTCACTTTAGTGGGAACATAACATGATAGTCACTTAGATCATTCAGCTGTGTGTAATTTTTACTGGATAGTTTAATATATCTTTTCTTATAGTATATAATTTATTAGTGTGTAATATATCCTTTCTTAAAATTCAAACATAAATATAGGACTAACAGAAAAGACTTTTTACATACAATTCTGTATACTGAATTCTGTCTCATCGATATATGTGATTTTTTTAAGGATTTATTTATTTGAGAGGCATAGTCACAGACAGAGAGAGGGAGAGATAGAAAGGTTTTCTATCCACTCGTTCACCCCCCAGTTGACTACAACAGCCAGAGCTGAGCTGATCCAAAGCCAGGAGCCAGGAACTTCTTCTGGGTCTCCTAAGCAGGTGCAGGGGCCCAGGCACTTGGGCCATCTTCTACTGCTTTCCCAGGAAATCACTAGGGAGCTGGATTGGAAGTGGAGCAACTGAGACTCAAAGCTGTGCCCACACAGGATGCAAGCACCACAGGTGGATGCCTAACCTACTGCACCACAGTGCTGTCCCCAATATATGTGATTTAAAAAAACAGAATCCGTAGTACATTTCCAAAAATAATACCACATGTATTCAAAGATTTTACTGAGCTGTCATAAATCACACGGGATCTATAATGGTAAAGTAAATTAAAATGGCCTGAGGGATCCCTGAACAAACAGAGCCAGCTAGGCTTCATAAGTGACTTTAACCTTGCATGATTTGCAAACATAAGCAAAAACTTGGGCTATTTTTAGTAAATGTCTATATTAACAAAAAATCAAACTTAAGGCTATTAAGTCAGATGCCACAAACTAACTTATATATGTGGAGACTTTCCAGAATGTTAGACCAATTGAGGCAACTGGGCAACTGTCACCAGTCATACACACACATATACATGCACACACACACACAAACACAAGTTTTACATCAGTGTTTGGCTTATTCAAGACCTCCCCTTCCATTCCCTTGGTGGAATCCTTGAACCACTTCTCATTTGAAACTGCTCTGTTCATGTATCACTGTCAGTACAAACTCTTACATTTTATTGTGCTTCAATTTACTTTTCAATACTATGTACATTTGTCTCTCTAATTAGATGTTTGTTGCCTCTAGGAAGATGTAAAGTAAATTTGAGGAGCTTAATGTTTTGAAGACGTCAAGTAGTTTCTTCATTTCTGTTGAATGGACATAAACCCTCAAAAAAGTACAGCTGTCCATGCTTTTTCTAAAGAACACAGTTATCTTTAGGAACAGTAATCTGCCCAAGGTCATCAGTGATCTGAGAAATTTCATGTGCAGAAGATAACATTGAATTAAGGATTTCCAAGTATGAGTACCAAGATACCCTTTGTGTGTGCTTTGTTATATATGATATTGACAAACCAAATGCAAAAGAGCAACAATCTGAACAAGGGTGTTCTTTATTTGAATGACAGTCAAAATCTATACAACAAAAACAGATGATGAGTTTAATCCACAGTGCTTTGTTTTCACAACTGCTAGCCCAGAAGAAATAAGTCCGGAAATAAACTATTGAAATAAACAGTAGAAAATTTAACACATTGTACTCTCTGAGAATATATATTCATACATATTCCCATTTACTTCGGAGAATACTTGATGCTTCTCCAAAGACAAGCATTTGAAAGCAAATATTTCATGAAGGAATGTGTACCCTGAATTATATGGGTGGGCTCAGTGGAATTGCATGAGCAGTTAAAAGATCGACTCTGGAAGCAGAATGAAAATACAAGAGAGCTGTGGCAGAGGGGAAGTCAGAGAGATCAGAAGCTGCACTGAAGTTGAGCCAAGTGACAAGGGATGCAGATAGTTCCTGGCTAAAAGCCAGGAAGGAAATGGGTTCTCATTCCTGCAATCACAAGGAACTGAATTTTGCCAAAAAACTAAATATACTTGGAAGCACATTCTCCAATTAAGAGCCAAGACCAGTAGGGACTTTGATTTTGATCAGTACATAGTCCAGCCTACATGCTCTTCTAAACTCAGAGGTATATTTTTTTAAAAAATTTATTTTATTTATTTGAAAGACAAAGTGACAGGGGCTTGAGGGAGACAGAGTGAAAGAGATAGAGAGATCTTCTACCCACTAGTTCATTCCCCAAATGGCCACAAAACCGAGGCTGGGCCAGACTGAAACCAGGAGCCAAGAACTCCATCCAGGTCTCCAACATAGTGGCAGGGACTCAAGTACATCTGCTGCTTTCCCACATGCTGGGAGCTGGATCTGAAGTGGAGCAGTAGGGACTCAAATCTTCACTCCAATATGGGATGCTAGCATTGCAGTCAGTTGTTTAAGCTACTGTGCTATCCCCTAAACAGATGTTTTAAACTTGAGTTTGTAATAATTTGTTTCAGGGACAGTGGACCTCTATCTGAATCTTCATTTTTATACATTCCCTTTCAGTTCAAAACACTTGACCAATAGCTTAAGGGAAAATGTTTCTCCCCAAGAATATGTTGAAAAACAGGTACATTAAGAGCAAGGAGACTGGCGTTGTGGCGCAGTGTTAACGCCCTGGGCTGAAGCACCGGCATCCCATATGAGCACCGGTTCGAGACACGGCTGCTCCACTTCCAATCCAGCTCTCTGCAGTGGCCTAGAAAAGCAGTGGAAGATGGCCCAAGTCCTTGGGCCCCTGCACCCGTGTGGGAGACCCGGAGGAAGCTCCTGGCTCCTGGCTTCAGATTGGTGCAGCTCCGGCCATTGCGGCCAATTGGGGAGTGAACCATTGGATGGAAGACCTGTCTCTCTCTCTGCCTCTTCTCTCTCTGTGTGACTCTGACTTGCAAATAAAATAAATAAATCTTAAAAAAAAAAAAAAGAGCAAGGAGACTGGCTTCAACAGAAAGTCAAAATTTCTGGTTCTTGTTTTGCTTTCATTATACGTGGCCTTCAAGCTAAACTAATATACATGATCATAAAGGGGACAAAGATGTAGAAATGGTAAGGCCAATCCTTGACTCTGCATATGTAAATATCCCATATACTCCAAAGTCCCCTTGTGATCCAAAAGTGTGGGAGGTGACCATAAGCTGTTTGAAATACATGTGTTAGTGGAGATGAGTGGAATAGTTTCTTTGTGCAAGAAAGAATTCAGGCATGTTACAGAGCATAGTGGTAAGCAAGGTAGCAAGGTTTAATGGAGGCCGGGCATCCATCAGAATGGTTGGGTCCCTCTCCAGGTAGAAGCTGAGAGAGTGCCCATCCATTCAGACTGGAGAAAGCAAGGCTACATAGTCTGAGGAAGAGAATACACCATACACCGGACCTGCCAGGCGGCATCTCAGCAAAGAACTGAGAGAGCTGAAGGCTGAAATCACCTGATGGAGCAGGACGGGTGTCTCAGGAGAAACTGAGCTTTCAGTCTGTATTCAGACTGGCCTCATAAAGAAACAGGGTCAAGTTACCCCCCTTTCTCCTCTTCCTCCTCCCTCTTCTGGTTCATTGGGTGTGAAACAGGTAAAAATTTTCCCAAGGTTTTCTTATCCAATGTTATCAGACTGCGTAGCCCACTTGCTGCGACGCAGAGAGGAGTCTCCTGGGAAGCCTTCCTTAGGGAGAAGGCTGGAACCACCTGTGAGGTTATCAGGGTATGGGCAGGACTTTGTAGTGTAAAATACTGGGCTGCTTCCAAGACCTGCTTCCTTCCTTTCCTTTCTGAAAGTGCTTTGTTTTCCTTAGACCCCTCACTAACACGTGGGCGAATTTCTAACTTCCTACCTAACACATGCACAATAACCACAACCCAAATATGCATGTACACAGGT